ATAACAGTATGATTCGCATGAATGATATGAGAAATAACATTACTCTTTACCTCTTTCATTTGATACTCATTAAGTTGATTTTCCTCAAAAGCTGACAATAAATAAACATTGGTAGATGAAATTAGACTTACTGAACATCTTTTATAACAAGAAAAACGTTATTATATGCTAATATAAAACAACACTTGTCTTTTTAACCGACTTCAAAAAAAAGCTTCTTAATTTGACCTGTATGTATGTATTTGCGAGATTATCTCACGATTGGCTGCACCGATTTTGATGCGGATATCAGAAAAGTTTTTGTTACATTTAAGACATGGTATATTATTTAGTCGATTTCAAAAAAAGAGGGGATTGAAGTCGGTTTTTATAAAATTAAATATCGTTTATAAAAAAAAAATATTTAAGATCAATCACACTATAAAGTTCGATTTATCTGATGTCTCATACACAAGGTCGTGGTTGTGAGTCCGTGACGCACTACTGATCGCTCTCGCTCCCGCTCCACGCTCGACACTTACACCACACAAAACTAGAGCAGCCGCCGACAAACCGACCGCCGATAAGTAGTGGATTTAGCAACCATTATACCATTTTCCCGACGTTTACAATGATTAATGTGGCCGCACCACACTACACGACAATCTGCCGCAATTTGTACCGAGTTCGCCACGCGTGAAAACTAAACAAAACACTGTGTGTGAACCGCCGTCAACCATTGTCATATCCGATATTACGATTGTAACTTTTTAATGACAATCATGAATAATCTGTGGTTGCGTATGAACATTTGTTACAATGATTTCTGTACTGTCATTAAAATATTATGTTTATTCTACGGCATCTTCGTGTGTACACAACGGGTGGTAATTACGTGTTCTAAGAGATTATAATCACTATTTATGTAAAACAAGTTGAGCTGTTGATATGGTAGCTAAATAAATCTGCGGCTTCATTTGTAACGCTAATTATTTTATTTCGAGTAATTGTATTGCATGTCTGGAAGACGGTTGTGTCGATTAGAGGAAATTAAACGTAGCTCGTAAAAAATAATTGGTAAGAGATTCCAAGGAAACTGTTAGTAAATAAATACAAATGTTCTATGTCAATAAACAGACAATAACATGAATTTTCCACTTGAATAGTAGTTATTGTTATAAATAACTTGTGTCGTAAATGACTGTATTGAGAGCAATGACTAACTGGTCTACTTAAGCTGTGGTACTTTATAAGGATGTAGACAATTTTCCTTGCCGCGTGTGTGGTATTGGTTTTATTGATTTTTTAATAAGCCCATGGGTACGAACCGGACATATTGGATATTGGAATACAATGCAACCAGTAAACTTCAATTAAACGGTGAATACGAATTATTAAGAAAATCAGACAAACGTAGAGCTTTGTTTAGAAATAGAATTTATTAACAAATATAATATAAAAAGATGAAAACATTAACCACGACAATAAATTACACTGAATGAATGCCTCAATCATGGCATAAACTTCCAAGTTTCCATAACGATCGAAAAACCACACACATGATCCCCTTTTCCTAACATTTTCCATCTTTCCATCAGCTATACAAAAAGCCGTGGTTAGTTTAAATCAAATATTGATGCACAAACAATATGAGGCACATGAAGGGAAAGCCAGGCTTGCATGTTTCATGAGAACCCGTGGTGGTTTAAAATCAAAAGTTTACTTATTCATCAGGGTCACAGCGTGTTTACAACGGACCAATTGGATGAATAGGAGTTATCCCATGTTTGGGAAAAACAAACGACAATTTGTATTGTTTGGAACGATCGCCTGCCAATTTAGGGGACTCCACTGAAAGGTGAAACGATTCTTGTTTCGTTGAGCAAATAAATAGCTTTGACATTGGCTGTAAGCTTTATTAATTTATGAGCAGATTTTGCGATGAAAGAACGCACCAGACTGGAATATTTCGTTGATGATACGCAATTATAAACACACGTAGACATCCATATACCAACAGGAGATGATCAAACACTGGCGATATATAGAACAGATTTATATACTCCTAAACTTGTAGTCATTCTACATCTTACATCAATTACCCTGGACGAGTAAATAGATCGGCTACAGACAAATGAACAAGAATGATAGCCGATACAACGCTAAACAAAGAGAAATAAGACTAAAACAATGTAAGTCTGTTTAGGGATAAACAAAACATCTATCACATGCATCGTAATTTCATCACTGAAGTCAAATAGTTAAACAAAACACGTGGATCCTGTGATTAATTCTGGACATGCACAATGACCTAAGGGGTAATGATAGCCAGAAACCGTTACCACAATATTAGCTGGCCTGCCAAGAATCCAAGTCTATTGACAGTTGGTAACACATTGCTACTTTCACTGCAAAGGACACGGTTACTCTTACTTATTCATTCTCATATACCGGCCCTTTGCCAAGATCCGCTTTGGTTAAGACACTGATCATGTTTCTTGTGGTAACCGTATAAAAAGATCCGTTATCTAGGATTTCGTAAGCATTTCTACAGCACGTGAGAAGACCGCAAAATATCTCCAACTAAGGAATGCATGCCAAAAGCAACAATTTATGTATGCATTTGGCATGATGTTCTACTGAACTTCGGATCACCAACGTGCAGGAAAACCATAAATAATACTCTGTACACAATGAGCTTCATATGGTAAAACATTTATAAACCATAAAATAAATAAATGCAAGAATACATCGAAAATATAACTAACAATGGATATCAAAAGTAAAAGCAAACTGAATTCTCTCAACCCCAAACTGACCATTTCAAGTTCTTTAGCCATTTCATATCCAAAGCCACATCTATACATACAAACGTCCCGGGGCTACGTTAAGAGGGTTCAGTTTGCAAATTTTCCCGGACGTAAGCCATTTTCCATGTGTTTATCCACATTTAACCCCGCTGGTGAATCAACAGGGTGTAGTTGACCGGGAAGGGTACCAGTTATGGTATTATAAGGACCGAGGACATGGTCAGCATGTAATTTGCGGATCCCTGTCCATACTATCGCGAATAGCTTCAATTAAATGGAGGTTATATACACAAATCATTTCTAGTTATGTCCAATGGGATACTGTAGAGACCATTAGGTCGATCATAACGATAGATGGAAATTGATAGCCAAGGTAAGTACGCTGCAAAGTCAGTATTTTTAAAGTTTAAACTGTGACGTAGGTTGTATGTCTATTTCAAAGATATTACTTTTAGAAATCCTATGGAATTCGTTTCATTATAAGATGGATGAATGCAAACATTTCTGTTGCTACCCACGATATCCTGTATGAGTAAAAAGCAATCCAAATACACCTTGGAACGCAATAATGCTGAGTAAACAAACGGCAAACGGTTGTAAATCAAACAGTTCAACACATTTCATGAATGATTTGTACTTGCTCTACAAAACTTGGGTTATTACTATCCTATACTATTACCAGAAAAACAAGGAAATATGAGTCATCGCATGATGGAAATAAGATTGAAGACAGCTGTACCGTTAGTTTTGCTTTGCACTGAACAGTTGCATGTCAAGGTCTGAATGATCGTAGATTTCAAGTGAAGAGCTAAAAGCGACGGATTGAAATATTGTTTCAAGACGAAAAATATATCTCTTTTGTTTACGATTTTTTATAAATTGCACACTAACTAACCGTAAAGTGTGAACCGTATGTTAGTTTAACGAACAGAGTAATATGATTATTTCGTAAGCAGAACAACTATTCCTCTGGCTATCGTCTTTTGATAATGTTCCCGCGCGCCTGACAAAACGCTTGTCTGCAGAACGTAATATATTTCACTAGTTTTATTTCGCCAATGAAATTTATTCGACAAACAATTCTGAATATTTTCTTTGCGAAAAAGAAATAGAGGAATCTAGGTCAATAGTAGTAAACTTAAATGATTGTTTGAAAATGCTGGGAAAAGTTTCAAAATATTTACTATAGCTGTTGCTATGTGTAGTCTACACGCGAACATTTTCCCGGGTCTGTGGCGACGGGCGTCATATAACGAAAGACAAACAAAGCATCGGGTATTTTCCATTGATAACATTGAACCGATGATGACTGCTCATTATTATCACCTCCTACGCTAATCCAGAGTTAAGTAGCTTTTAACATTCTTTACGACAAAGGTAATAAATAATTATCATAGCAGACATAATTGGTACCGACTCTGCCCTGTGGAGCACCTTGTGCTAAAACTAGAACAAGAAACCGAAAGACATATTTATTTTACGACTTTGCGAAATACTACCGCGTTGTAAAGCACACGTGATCTTGTCCCTTGTGTCGGGGCCAAGAATAGTGCGCATCCGAGTAAATCATACGATACCGTCGCAATGATGTGGAGCGAGATAGTCTTAACTAGTACCCGAGTCTTTGAACCTCGCACTAACAACTGCATATAAACTAGGCGATAGTAAAATTTACGCTCAAAACACAAATAAACTAACCTTCCACTCGCTTGAAAGCCAACAAAACGATTTCCAATTAGCTTCTGTTGTATCTCACACCGACAACGACTAATGACTGCTCTAACATTTCTGTTAATGCAACCGATTTATGTAAATATTCGGACACATTAAACAAATACATAAAACTTCATGACCTAATTTGATTAACATAATTATAACATAGAACGGAGTATCTCTGAACTGGATTTCCCATATAAGCATATGTAACTAAAGCATAACTGAGGTAAAATATTATAATTGCTCGTATTAATAGGTTTACCGCGAACAGCGAATGCACTCTGACTAAAGAGGGCCATACGATGACTCAATAAATCTAACGACTGTTCTAATTTTAGCCACTTTCCCGCAAACGGTAATGGACTAATCATCATTTATTTACAAGTTTAATAAACCTGTCAATTAAACATGTCATTAGCTTTCAAATGAAAGAGTATTCAAGTATAGAGAACCACTGTCGGAAGAAACCATAGTTACGTAACAAGGTTTACTTACTACAGAAACACCTCGGATAAAAACGGTAGTTTGCAAGTTTCGTCCTTGTACTCACCCTGTAACAAAAAGAAAAACATCGTGAGAACTAGATACACTAATTACATATCAAGAAATATATTAATTACAACAAGTATACCGGACAGACAGCGCGAATAGGGGACCAAGTTAACGTCCACTTGAATGTCCCCAAGTGTCCCAAAAGTCTAGACCGGACGCTTGTTGGACAATTAATTGTCCTAGGAGTAAAGTCCCCTTACCATCACCAAGTATGTGGCATCGTAGGAGACTCATAACTGCATTATGGCAGCCATTTGGGGCTGGGTCATTTACTTGTTTAGAGTATGTGTAGGGGTTTTATGGTATTTCGTATATGGTCCATTACTTTAAGTTATTCGGAAGCACGTACTTGAACTATTGTTTAGTCATTTCGAACTTTGCTTTCATTACTCTCTCTTCATCATGATGTTTTAATCTTACTTAGCCATCAAGTTTGGGCAAGACAATACATAAGATCAATAATCTAATTTCCGAAACATTAACATCATTAATTACCGTGTCTCGTTCGGAACCTTTTAACATAAAGTCAAATACAACAGTGCAAAGTTTTGGGAACAATGTCGGATTATCGAGTTGCGCACAAAATACGCATTAGAAAACTTGCAAGGACAACTTGATCCAAGTTTCGGAGACCAGATAAAGTATAATAAGAACCGATAGGTATTAAGCTTTAAGTTGAGAATTTCGGATATTACGTTAAGCTACAACGGATGTTGTCCGGATCAGGATGTTTAATGTTGTAAACGTTTATTTCTGGACAAATTGCGGATGATCGACTCCCGAAGTTAATGACGACTGATTTGGCTGTTCATTCATAAGCACTGTTTAATATTCGGCCATTAACTTATATGGGTTTTATTAGAATTCGAAGTACATGTGCCGTTTGTAGCTTTTAGCTTGAATGATGGCTGAGCATTTGCATTCTTTTTGCAATGCAGAAAAGGTACCAGGATACGTTGAAAGAAGTATATATAGAAGTAACCTAACATATAACTACCGTTCATCATAAACCTAAACAAACTTAATCAACATGCAAATCTAGGCAGCTTCATGACTTGCATTTCATCAGAACAGTGCGTCAATACACATCACAACGCTAAACATATGAGTAAGTAGTTAATAACAATTATTCTTATTAGCACACCAATGGGTATTTAAAAACAAAGTCCTTCGACCGCATTTTTACTTGATGCGGGCCAGAATCGTAATGGAACCAGTAAAACTGACATAACTATAAAATCTGGTGTTCCACTTGACTGCAATTTGTATGATGTAATCGCAGTTGTAAAACCAAACTATGTTTAATAATGTGGGTTATCGTAAAAAATGTTTACGAATAAAAAGGGGACGAGATAAACCAATATTAAAATTCTGGCTACATAATTTCGTGATGGGGAAGTTTGGGTTCCGAATGAACTAAAAATATCTCAGATATTTATGCATCAAATTGAAATTGATAAGAAGGCCATTTTATACCGAAGAAAATGGTATATCTTGCTGATGATGTAAATAAACTGGTCAATACCACAAAAAGAATTTCAACCCAAAAAGAACAACCAAAAGTCTAATTAAAATAACTAAAATTCAACAATAAAACACATTCAATTAAAAAATGAGTCATGAACTCATTACTCACATCACTAATTAAACCATGAAGGTAAGAAAATAAGTCAATAGTTACTTATACCACGACAATACTGTTCAATGCTTATCGCATAAATAAATACTTCATGAATTTTTCATGACATCTGTTTAGGACATGAGTCCTTGCGACAGTACTTGGAGATGATGAGTCAGCAGAGTCAGTAGGAACTAGTTAAGATGACGGTCAAATCATCGTTGTAATAGAGATTCATTTGTAGTCGATATGAAAGAGAATCGAGATCAAGTGAACTGACATCAAGAAGTTACTAAACAAAGCGATCGACATAATTCACAAGAAATTATGATGGAAATAAAATATCATGTCTTAGCTAAACAGGGTACAACAAATAAAAGTAAATCAGATGAGGAAAAGGAATTTACCCAAACAGGATTAAAAAATATAGAAAAAAATACAGATGGAGATGACATGGAAGAAATATTCTCTAAGCACAGTGAGTTGGTCATAGCCATTAACTAAAGGGTATTATCGATGGCATAAAGCAATTTGTAGTAGATTTATCAATGGGAGGTATCTTGGTATCGCCTGCTAATGACAGTGGGGGACCAGACGATACGATACAGATTATTGGAAATTGCTATCGGTTTAAAATATTGTGAGGAACGATTCTATCTATTAACTATATACTATATACTAAAGATATTTGAATTGGACTTAGAAAGTAAAAGTTATCTATATAAATAAAAATGAATTTCCGTTCGTTAGTCTCGCTAAAACTCGAGAACGGCTGAACCGATTTGGCTAATTTTGGTCTCGAAATGTTCGTGGAAGTCCAGGGAAGGTTCAAGAGGTTAGAAAAAAATATATTTAGGAGGTACGAAGTTTGCCGGGTCAGCTAGTTAATTGATATTTTTGTGTAGTTGTTGAGAAAACTATGTACCTATTGTTCAAGTCATTAGGTATAGTTATAATTCACAACTTTCACTCACATTCATCTCAAGAATCTTGTTTAGAATGACAGACAAAGGGCACTTTGATCCCATTACTCTATCCGTCGCGTCTATAGATTTAAAGTGCATTTATTACGATATGATTCCATTATTCTGCTCTCACATAAAGCATGATCTGTCTATGGTGTTAAACCTACGCACTTTCTTGTCTGTAGGTGCGACATCGAAAGTGAGTGGGGTCTATCCCGTAGGCAGAACAGAACTAGTTGGTACGCCCATATACAATAAAAAGCAGCACAATCTAGCAACGTTTCGAAACCTACACAAAACATTTCCGATTATGATTATTATAGTACTTAGTTGCGCATCCGAAAATACAGTTACAACAAGAATGAAAGTTGTATTTCATACATCTACATCCGACCCGTTTTCCCAGTAGCATAAATTGAGTTTCGATATTTTTACTAATAACTAACTGTCTGGACATTCAAAAAATTCCAATGTTCTATCTCGTAAAACCAATTGGCAGGTAGATACGGAAGCTTAAAACACCTACCTCCTATTTAAAAATAAGAACCGACCATAGAATTCCGTTGAAACAAATAAATATGTCTGGCCATAAAGAAGACAAAACACCACATTCACACCCACACGATTCCACAAATTAATTTCATCTCACCACAACGATAAGTCAGAGAGGACGCCATTTTTCTCTATTAACTATATTAATATAAAAGCAGGGAATCCACAACACGTCATAAAGACGGCCCATACGGATCACTCATCGTGCCCTTTCCCGTGGCCGAGTATAATTTAGGACCACGGATATTAGATCTGCAAATTGGTCGTGTTATCTGCCGCCCTACCCGAGGGTGACCATTAGGAAATAGGGACATTAGGGAAGTCGGTACCGGTAATAAAATCTTTCTTTGGCTATAAATAACCGAGTTTTAAGATTAAGCGTAGGTATATTTGATCTATTTTTCATCATTTGCTTGGCTTCATGCGGGTGAAAATGACCTGTTAATTCAAGCATATAACACCGGATTTCTCGTATGATTTATCAAAGATCTTGTAGTTATTCATAGACGCAAACAAAATGGGCCACACATGTTAAGCATAGAACTGGATTTCAAAATACTAAGCTCAATAAAAATAATGGCAACAATAAGAGAAAACGGTTGTACTAATTGTTGCATTAGGATTTAGAAACTGCAGTAGATTTACTTAAACGGCAAAATAAAATAATACTTATGTAGATGACAAGGCGTCTGATCTTGTATGTGGAGACACAGACAATTAACATTCACGTCAGCGCCACATAGGTTGTTGGAAAGTCAAACTATAAACGGTCGTTTAGAACGAATACTTTACCTATTCTTATATTTCACTTCTATTGTTCCCACTCATGATATATTAGATACCTATACTCCTAACGCTTCTAGAAATATTCTAATTTCGCTGACGAAATGTCTCGCACGTGAGACTGATGTTTGTACAATGCGATTAACAGGATTTAAAGTCAACAATGAATCAAATCAGTCTAATCTTGGACGATCCAGACTAAACCTTGTCAGAGGACTATTTTTAGAGTTTCAAATCCAAGATGCATTCATTTCGGTTACGAAATCCTTCTTGAATGGCAATTAAATGCCTGAAGACAATTTTTGCACTTCTCGTCGTGTCGATCACTGTCTGTTAAAAGGTCAACATAAAATATTGGAAGATGTAGACAGCAAGTCATTCCCAATACATTAGAGCCATGGTCACTATACACCGCTCCCTTCTTGGCGGTCTGTAATGGCGTACACAACGCCATCTAATGGCTATATTGACCTACGGCCTATCCACGGAGCATTACTTAGGACGATATTTATTTATACCTAGCTGTCGTGATAGCCGGAGGTTATGAAACATGTTTCCGATACGAAAGACAGGAGTTCAAAACCTGGTGCAGACAGTAAGAAAGGATACTGGTGTATCAAATCACAATACATTCAAAAAAGGACTTTACCCCTTAAATAATAGAACAGTCTAGCTACGGAAATACCATGCATGTTACGAAAAACTAAAAGCGAGTAAATGACTAACATTCAGAGAACTACTAAACATGTGGTGTAATTAATAATAATTACGGTCGACGGAGGCCACCACCGAGTGCATTTTTGACAGAGACTGATGCAAGACACATCTTTTCTAAAACTAAACTGTATGACGTCTGCAACCAGAAGTTTCATAGAAAAGTGAATCGCATCGGACACAGATAATTATGAAGTATTGCAACAAGAGTGTCAACATTAGATTTTTTCTATCGGAAAAACACAGCGTTGGATTCACTCCAATCTATACATTGTCCCATAAATATTAAAGAATTGCGTTTCCTCGTACTAAAATAAATGTCTTACAGACAACTCCAGTCACCTTGAAAAGCATAGAAAAGTATAGA